CCAATTTTACATGTATCAATCTGATAAAATTACATTTTCATTATCCTGGACGGGTTTAAATTTAAATATTCACATTTCTAATTCAGTGGCAAAGGACTATTGAAATTGGCATGGGGGTCCTTGTGTAATTTAAATCTATGTCCACTTTTTAAAAATCTAAATCTACAGTTTTATTTCACAATGCAATGAAATTATAAGGAATCACTGTCTAGTTAATATAGCATGCCTGGGACATCAACAATAGTGGGAAACATACTTCGTCCGTCATGCAGATTATCCCACGTTCCCCACAGTCGTTAATGCCCTGGCATACTATACTAAGACAGTGATCCTTAAATGCATAGATGATATCCGGTTAAATACATTGTATATACACGTGATTTAATCGGTCAATAGAAGGATAATACTTTTAGTTATAATAACAAAGTTTATACTAGAATGTTGAGAATTATAAAGAGTATACGTTGTTAAAAATAATCTATTGATAAATGGAATATAAAGAGGTCGAATACATAATGAAATTTCAAACAAGGAGGATTTTGACATGTTAAATTTCTTCCTGTTTATTTGAAGTCCATTTGAATTATAACCCTGAATATGTCGAACCCCCGGACGGCTCGAAGCCGATCTATGGTCCCATCAGCTTCGAGATAACGAAGCTTAACTGTTCATGCATTTTTCTTTTCTATTTAAATACAGGGGCGTTAATTTAATTTATTTAGTGAATAAGTACCATAAGTGTCAATAAAATTTAACATTACAATATCGACGCCGCTCATCATATTGTAACTGGCTTCACAAAAAATGACTTTAGGGCCACTATTAAGAGACTGGTTGTTGATCTTTAAAGGTCATTAAAGGTCATGAGATCCTTTTCGTATTTGACCTCGCCACAAAATAAAGATACATGTAGGCATAAGGTATATACCATCACTCCACTGGACAAAAGTGTCACACAATGCATATGCAAATCAAATATAGTACTGATCACTACAGTAAGGCCTTCATCCTATCAACTACCAAACTAACATTGAAAGATTCCACGTGAGGGCAGGGAATCCCCCCCCCCCCCCCCGGCCTGTTACTAGTATTTGGTTCCTATCTTCAATGAAAAGGATGCAGTGAAGGTTAGAGATACTAGTAGGGAAACATCTTTCTGACATAGTGCTTGCAAATGTATTATTCAAAATAATACTAATTTGTCTCTTTTTTTGTTTGTAAATTCTGTTTCTTATCTTGCGAGCTGTGTATTTCTCTATATACGGTTTACTGTATTTGGTCCGTCTCGGTACGTAAGAAAAATTTAATTTTTTTTTATAGAATAATATTTTGACATAATTGACGGGAAAATCCTATGTTTTTGAAAATTAAAAGTAATCTTACTGTTTTCCCATTAATAATGGGGCTCCATACATGCACTTAGGTGTCTCTGGTTGAAACTCTAAGAATCAGGTTGAGGTAAAGCCTTATTTTGTATTTTGGAAGGTCTTGTTGTGTACAATGCACATGGTAAGTATTATAAAATTTAAAAAAACACACTTATATACACAGAACGAAATAAATGATGTCGTTGTCCTTGCGCTTTAAACCAAAAGACAAGGCCACCACAAGGAAGAGTATCCCCTCGCAAAGAGAACTGTATTCGATAATGATCCCACGATGCAAATTACGTCACTCACCCATATGCGTCAGAACCGGGGTGGGGGCTAGGGGGGCTCAGCCCCCTCCCCCCACACTTTTTTCAAAGGTTGACATAAAATAAGTATTGAAAATTGCATGGGGTTTATTATTTTTTTAGTTTACTTTTATTCGTTGGTTTAGCCCCATCCCCCACTTTCGATTAGCCATCCCACTTTCAATTTGCTTCCAACGCCCATTCATCCACAAACGAACACGCCCAACTGCGTAACGTGGGGACAATGTCAGATTGATTTACTGAATGAAAAAAATATAACTTCTGACTTTGAAAATTTATGAAACAATTTTTAAGCTGGAAAATGAATTGATATACTGAACTCAACAAATGCTGCTAAGAAATAATTTTGAATTAAACGATTTATTGATCTCTCTAATTCATCGATCAATTGAGGACTTCGTTTATTATCTTACAAATATGTTTTTTAAAGGAGAAATGAACTAGAGTACCATTTTTTAAAAGAGAGAAACTATTCAACTAAAGACAAGAACTATTTTATTTAAATTGTGGAAATGTTGGATCGGGAAAAAATGGGAAGGAAGGAGTAGATGGGTTTAAATTCACTATCTATGATGACTTGTTACCTTTAAATTATTTTAATTAAATAATAAACGAAACTTAATGCACACTTCCTATCCCGCTGAAAAATGTCATTGTATCCTAGAATATAAACATGATAAAGGTCTCGTTATAGTTGGAAATAATGCAGAAAAACTCAACAGCGTTTATCTGTCATCCTTGATATATTCCCCTTTTATTTTACTTTTATTACATAAATATAAATGAACTTAATCAATTTCCAGTCCGTTCCTAGATTCGATATAGAAACCGTTGCATGTTTGTGGACAACATTGGAATCGGGCTCGATGTTCAATGTAACGAGTTTCGTAAATATTGTGACGTCATTTATTCAGTGTTAAAAATTTATTCAGCGATTTTAAACAGACTATACATCAAAATACCACATGTCTATGTAAAACTGTATCCACGAATAAGTAGAGGATTAGGAGAAAAATGTTCAAAAACATCAAGAATGATATAATTGTTAAATCCAACAGTAAAGCCAGAGGAGTTCTGATGACGTTCCCCATAAGAATGAGTGATAAAAAACATTCCCCATAATTTTTGATTACATACTGAGACGACAGATACGTAATTTTTAGGATTATAAAGGAGAGTCTATAGTAATATAGTTATTTTCCATAAAAATTGCCTATTATTTTATTAAAATTGTCATACGGAAGCACTTTCCCCACAATGTATTCCATGCGCCCAATTCCTCACAAGTCGGTTATGTCGGGTAAGAGAGAGAGAGAGAGAGAGAGAGAGAGAGAGAGAGAGAGAGAGAGAGAGAGAGAGAGAGAGAGAGAGAGAGAGAGAGAGAGAGAGAGAGAGAGAGAGAGAGAGAGAGAGAGAGAGAGAGAGAGAGAGAGAGAGAGAGAGAGAGAGAGAGAGAGAGAGAGAGAGAGAGAGAGAGAGAGAGAGAGAGAGAGAGAGAGAGAGAGAGAGAGAGAGAGAGAGAGAGAGAGAGAGAGAGAGAGAGAGAGAGAGAGAGAGAGAGAGAGAGAGAGAGAGAGAGATTTTCGAACAATTTTCTACACATTTTTAAATAATTAAAATCATGCTTGTTTTCCTAATTTTATTTTTAAACTTTTACCCCCTCCTCCTCTCCCCCCAAAACCATGATGCATAAGGCGTATATAGCAATTGATATGTTTTTTATTAAAAATATCACACTACATATCATTTTTTAGTGAATGAGGTTAAAAATCAAACATGAAACGAATGAAATGTAACCAGATTGTTTAGACATCGGGATCGAGACGCCTTTCATATCTCGATACTTATACGGATACGGATACTTATACGGATACGTCAGATAGAACAATCTCTAATGGGAACAAGCTAATTCAGAGAATTTGTGTCCCCCGCTTAGGTAAAAAGTAAGGAGGGTCGGATCCCCTTGACTGAATTGGTATAATTATTAAATGTATACATGTATACTGAAGCAAATAAAATATGCCAATATGTATATTAAAGTTTAATTGCTTATTCTTTATTATGTGTATAGAAAATTTTTTATAGGGAATATTTATCACACTGTAATGATGATTTTGAGTTTGTACAAGCCAGACCTCATAAATTCTTCATTTCACATGAATACTATCATTTAGTAAAAAAAAGGTATTTCGAAAAAAAAAACTTAGATCGCCGGGATGCGAACCCGAGCCCTCTCACATGTGAAACGAGAGACATACCACTAGACCACGGAGCCGCTTTAAACTAACGAAAATTATATGCACAGATGAAGTCACATACATGTATACATTCACGTTCGATATTGTCAAAATTTTACACAATGCATGATATCTAATTTAACCTTTATTAAACAGTTCTAATAAATGTAATAAAAATACAAAGTCCACCGAGAACCTGTTTTATACGTAATAACTCTCCTTATGCCCCTGTGCTAAAAATAATACAATAAATACTAATAAAACAAACGGGGCGGGACACTTTAAGAGGGGTGAGAGAGGTTCTAGGGAGTTTTGGTATAAAATTTCATTGCAAAAGCTCAAAATCTACTTGAAATATCGCCCGGAAATGATAGTGTTTCATACAGACAGAATGTATAAATTTACGACTTGAATTTTGACCTTTTGACTTCAAAATCAATAGGGGTCTTCCCTCGGCCACATGGAGTTGTTATGTAAAATTTCATTGCAAAAGCTCATAGAGTTCTCGAGATATTGCGCGGAAACAAGAGTGTTATAAAAGACAGAATTTGCGAATTTATGACCTTGACCTTTGACCTTTTGACCTAAAAGTCAAGAGGGTTCTTTTTTAGTCCATAGGGGGTTGCTATGCAAAATTTCATTGCAAAAGCTCAAAGGGTTCTCGAGATATCGTGTGGAAACGAAAGCGTTACAGACAGACAGAAAGACGGACGGACGGACGGACAGACCCAAATTAATATCCCCCACTTTTCAAGCGGGGGACAAAAAAAAAATAATTTCAGTATGCCCCATAACGAAAATATTGCTTTAACTTCAAACTCCTTTTTGTACGCGTGCGCCGAAAAGCTAAATAAGTTACAATACACGTAATTACCATGGTCTCAAGTACGGTAGATACAATCTTTGTTTTTCCGGCACCTATATTGTACAGTCTTTCTCTGCATGCTACAGGTATCTTACAAGAAGCACATGAGTTTGGCTCACTAAATTACTTTAAAGAAAAGTGTTTTTTAAATGTATCCAAATTATCTTTTAATCAATAGCGTATTGATGATAGCAGTTCTAACATGGCTGTTTCTATAACAAACACTGGTATAAAAACAAAAACATGAATTGAAAACCCGAGTTAACTCGATAGCGAACCTTTTGATTATGCCAGTACACATGCGTCAGTTTTCGTTAACAGTGTTTAAGTATATTTTGTTTTTCAAATCGCAGTTGATTTAGTAAAATGCAGTACATTCAAAACCTATTATAGTTTTTACGAAAATATATAATTAAAACTTAATGAAATGTAAATAAAACAACTGAACCATTGTCGATTTCTCACGTTTTTCAGAGACCAATCCAGAAATTTACGTCATGTTCTGCTTAAGTGGGATGGTGTTTGGAATACTTATAGGAATTTGTGTCACGTGGTTGTTTCTCAAAAGGTAAGAACAAACCATTGAATGTTATATCAATATTGAATGAATATGTAAATAGCAGTTAACAACATTATGCTATCTCAAAGAGACTTGAAACGGACTATAGTTAAATTCATATAAACGCATTTACTTTTAGAGTGCCAAAAATGCAGTTGACGGTTAGTCAAGAAATAAATCGCAATATAAACACCACTGGAAAAGACATTTTGAATGATGACGCAGAATATTCAGAAATTCCTTGCATTCAGGAATATTTTAAAGTAAGATTTTTATACTAAAACATGTATTATTTTTATCTTTGTCAATGATATATCTAATGAAATTGACAATATAAAATATCACATCAATAAGATGAATGAAAATACATTATAAAAATTCTTTAAAAAAATTGGTATAAATAGGTGGAGGAAACTCTTCTATCAGGAGAAAAAACAGATGATATTAGGAAACACCGAGATGAAGATATTAAACTTCGTAAAGATCTACAGGCATCACCTTCTATGATTGTACAAGTAGACATCACTGAACCCCTTTTTCAAAGCGATTCGTATCCCAAAATGGAATTACCCGAAGGTAATGAATATGTAGAACCACTGTGTCACGAATATCACCACCTGACACCAATGAACACTATAAGCGATGTTATCATGGAACATGCATCATTCTCTAGGATTGAACAGGTAGATTTAAGTGTACCATCTTGTACAAATGATTCTTATCCAAAACAGGAACTGACTCCCAGGAACACTACAAATAACGAAACCATGCAAACGTGGGATCAAAAAGATAAACATTATTCATCAAATACAGAAGACACTGAAGAAATTAGAGAAAAAGATAGAAACACAAATGTTGTGCAAAACAGTTTTTTGATGTCAGGTATGTCTCAAGAGAGAAAAGTTGGAGAAACTAAAATGTATACTTCTAAGGATGTAGGAGAAGCAGCAGACTCTGTTTACTTTGTTTTAAATACAGGTGAGATTTTTAATTAATTATTAACCCAATATTTACCCCTTTATTCAGTGGATATAACTCATTAGATATTTAATGATATCCAACTGTTATGACTTTATAAAGGGTTTTGCACGAAAGAGATGATGGCACCTGATCCCATCTCTGATGTTTTGGAGATCCGTGTTTGATATGCTCTTATTTTATATTGTTTCGTGGAGTTTTGATTTTGAATACTGTTCGTTATCCCAATATGTTTCATGATGTGAAATAGGGTGAATTCCTATGAAACACTGCAACTTTGGTATAGTGTTGTATAAAATGTGGGATAAAGAAACTCCCATGATAAGTGAATAGATATTATTTAAAAATAAAAAATAGAACCACAAATCATGAGAGATCCCTTATAAGAGGGTTCTTGGAGAAGTTCATGGACGAATTCAATCTTTGTTATAGTTCTTTCAAGAAATTTAAAATAAGCACAATATCATATGTGAAGGATATTTGTTTTGTTGATGTGTGAACATTCTGTGAATTCGATTTAATTGAAATCAATTTACTTCATTTTAAAATCAACATGTTTTGTAACCACGGAGCATACCTAACGGCAATGTAACGTCAAAAACACAGCGTCGAGAATTTCTCATAAATATTATCCCTATATATTTCACACAGTATAGTCAAATACCCACTCATTAAAAACGATTATTTACTACTTGAAATTTATTTTTTAACAATTGTTCTCGTTGTATAATTTCCGTTGTCTACTGTGCTTTCACAAGATGAGCAACTTTAAACCACCTATAACTTTCCATGACGTTTAAACTTTTTGAAGTTTTTGATCAGATTTGAAAAGTTTGACCGTCCTCGTCCGATACGAAGTGACAAACAAATTCCGCCTGTGCCATTTACAAATGTATGCACGACTCGCTTGTGCATATTCTTGTATTCCTTTAACATTTTTATAGCTTACTCAGGAATTTCTCGTTTATAACACAAAATTACTCGTTAACTGTTTTACAACGTAATCCTTTTTTCGTCGTTTTCAATGAAAACTATACCTTAGGCTAGTATCATCACAAATTGATTTTTCTTTCAACGAAGCAAAATTCAAAGCCATAATGTGTAATATAGATCAATGTAACAGTTGTTAATTTAGACGTTTAGGATTTTTCCCTTTTCCTCCATTTCGCAAAGAATATGACAACATACAATTATAGTGTACTGTTTGTAATTTACTAAATTGATTTGCGCCGCGATCCGATTTTTGCAGTTTTTAATTCTGAATAAGTTTGAAAAAATCATGATATTTTGAAAAATTTTAATACAAATTATTTGAATTTATTGTTAATATATTTCTACCAAATTTTGATAACATATGACATTTAACAAAAAAAATTAGACAGAAGTCCACGAATTTTCCGAAAAGCTCTCTTATATTCACAATTTGTGTCGTTTGTATCTTTTATATATATATAAAACTAAAGTATTTTAGAAATGAAATGCGTTTTACAAATAAAAGTTTGATTATTTAAAATGTTGCGGTCATTCACAGAAAAACATCGAACATAATTAATGTCATTGAAATTCCTAAAACAGGAATAATAACTGAGAAGCATAAAGTGGGTTCGGGAAAAAATGAAATATCAAATGTATGAAATATTCCCCTTATTATTCACATGTTAAACTTTATGTTTGGGATTTTTACTTAGAAAAATGTCTGATGGTTGATTTCAAGTTTCATACATTTTTTTTTATTTTTCAAATTCTTATCATCAGGGTGTACTTTTCTGTTTTTGCTTTTGCTTTCTCAGAACAATCTAATAATTTATTCATTTTTAAATCTTTTTCAGAATATTTAAATTCAACTCGGAATGACGTCAAAGCAGAAGGAGTAAATGGCAAATTGTACGTTGAGCTAGAAAAAAGATTTTGAATTTTCCCCCAGTACTAGCTTGTGATGGTTTACATTTATACATGCACTGGTTTGATGTGACATGGAAAATTACTTTTTCCAAATCAGAAAAGAAATATATTTACTCAAACAACAGAAAAGTCTTCAGAATGATGATTGTTAACGAGGTAATTTTCATCTCCTAACAACAGAGTTGGAGGTGATACATTAGCGCAGTCGTACATGTGTGTTTGTTGCTGAGTAGGTCGTACAAGTATGTGTGTGCTTGTTGGTGGGTAGGTCGTACACGTATGTATGTGTTTGTTGATGAGTAAGTCGTACAAGTATGTTTGTGTTTGTTGATGAGTAGGTGGTACAATTTTTTTGTGTTTGTTGGTGAGTAGGTCGTACAAGTATGTGTGTTTGTTGGTGAGTATGTGAATTATTACTGTGCGAAACAAAAGAGAAGTAATTTTCATCGGGACTACCTTAATTTACACATATGCTCTTTGCGTTGAGATACACCGGTTTGTGGTTCCCTTGTTAGAAATAAGTTTACAAACATTACCATTGTTCAAGGCTAACACACCGATAAGAATGTAAAAGTTACACTAACATTACATAAGAATAGAACAAAATAGAATATAAAATACACAACTGTGACTAGAATAAAAGCGTCGATGAAATAAATGAAATTGAGTTGCTTTGCTCCTATATTATATTGTATTGTTTAATGGACTTTTGAGCTTGAATACTGTATATTTGTGAATAGTAATCAATACAATTACTTTGTTTAAAATCACTAACTCTATTTGCATGTTCTTCAAAGTAGATATTAAAAAGGAGCTGAAGTTCCTCTCTAACATTATTTATGCTTAAATTTGGAGGCAAATTCTTAAAATAAACTTGTTTCTATTTACGTTTACTCTCTTTTACTGACTTGATATATTGTTGTGAATTTGAAATAAAGACTCAACACAGTCAACTTAATATCTTAAAAATTTGAAAATGTTGTAATAATTAAAGGTCATCTAAATGAATACATTGTATGACAATTTCCTTATCTATTTAGTAATATTCCGTTTTTATCAATACTTTTAACTCGCCTCCTAAATTATTCAATACTCAAGAGCTATTAAATTATATATACTGCTAACAGAAAAGATGACCTTATGGGTATTCTAAACACTTCGTTTGAAGTCGTCGTATTGAAAATTCTAAAAGCATTTTATTGACCTTATTGTCAAATGAAACATTTTGTTGGGTCATATTTTGACTGATTTGTTTCATAAAGCTGGTTTTGTTTTTGAAACTACATTTAGTTAAATATTGGATATTCCATTAACCTGTTTGATACATAGTGTTAACGACAGATGTGACCTATGGACACGCAATGCTTTATCCTCCTCTCAATTATAATGGAATATTCTTGCAGGGAATGTTACATCAAACATATCTTATGGTGTATCAGCCCTGATAAGGAAAGTTAACGACCGAAAACTTTAAGTTAAAACATCAAAACATTCACAATAACCATTGATGATTTTTATTCTAGTAAATTATCTTGATATGAAACAGGAGCGTCACACTATTTATTGTTTTTATTTCAAGCTTACTAGGATATGTTCTATCACCATATGAATGGAAATACTCTAAACGTCTTTAATTTCACTTGTCTAAAATTTCTCGGTTTGTCAGAAAGTTACCTTTCACGTTGGTTTTAATTTCACGGAGAATCGTTCATAAATATTCAGGTGCTATGCCATGCCTTTTTAGGTAGAAATGAAGTGGAATAATAATCAAGATGGATTAAAGTTCGCATAACATTCTTAAATCCTGAATATAGTGAAATCGAAAACACCGTAATTATGTGTTCCACTTCTACAGTTACTTTTGTTAATTGACGTCTAAATAACGAGCTACAGGTCAAGTAAAACATCAATAATGTTTAATACACACTTAGTAATAAATACAGGTTTTTTGCATATGCTATATGGCTGACGTCACAATAGCCGTATCAGCCCTGCAGGGCTGATAACCTATATCAGCCCCGCAAATCCATATCAGCCCTGCAAGGCTGATACGGCTATTGTGACGTCAATATCACACCCTAAGTAAGTTAAACCACAAAAACAGCACTTGTGATCATACACAATTTTTGGTGGGTTCATATTTTCTTAATTTTAACTTTTTATAAATAAGGTTAATCTTAATTTACAAATACATGTAATAGATTAATGTCAAATTACGGATCTAGTGCATTGAAATAGAAGTAGAAACAAACCCAAATCGTATGAGACAATAGACCATGTGTATGTAAGAAGTCCATGCATGATTATTTACATATTTTCTTCTCAACTTAATGTATGCTGTATTTTATTACTAAGTATGTAATAAACATATTAATACATACCCTTTTCCACATCACATCCTGTATCAGCCCTTGACCAATATCAGCCCTCCGGCCTCCGGCCCTCTGGCTGATATTGGTGTCTCGGGCTGATACAGGATGTGATGTGGAAAAGGGTATGTATTATTCTCTATATAAAAATATCCTAATAAAAATGTATGTTCAGCAAAAGAATACCAGTGTAACCTAAATTATATGCATGATAATGTTTTATGACCACCTACTAAAAAAGAATCCCATTTTGATTTTTATGCCATATTTGTCTTCCCATGGTTAGTATCAGGATTTCCATGTATTTTCAAACACAGTTGTAGAACATTGTTTTTTCTTAAAGGGGCTGACGGTTGTGGCCATTTTTAGACTATATTGATTTCCTTTAGAAGAAGAGCTCCATATAAAGAAAAACAAAATTATAAAATTTTAATACTAAAATGCATGAAATTTTTATTTGCCAAATGATAGTTGACAGCTGTAGATATCATATCTAAAATGAAGTTATATCTGATGGTTAATTTGTTGACCCCAGCCTACTTCAGCCCATTCATACACATTATGAACTGTCAGAGCGAGATTTTTATTTTATGATTGACACTGGTATGGCAAGGCAAATAACACTTTGTCTGTACCAGACACTGAGAGACATAAATTATCAGTCAGCACTTCAGAAATCATCTGAATGATAATTGCTCATTACACTGAACGTATACATGGATAGGCGTATTCATAATTTAGCGGAATCAAGGGTATAGAGGTGTAAACGTAATCATATGAATTGGCGCTACACATGTTCATGCCTTGTTTTGTATAAGTAAATGATTTCTTAGCGGTATTCATGAATTAGCGCATTCTTGCCCACCCCAAAGCCGCTAAAATATGAAGCCCGTACAATACATAGGTGTCATAAGCCTTTGTTTTTCCTGAATATAATACATGTGAATATTTGCTACGCTAAGAGGTTTGTTGATTTTAATGAGTAATCACTATCATACAGAATGAAAACATAACAATTATTAGGACATCATTTCCTTACCCTAAAGTGTGACATGAATTAAAACTGTAATATAATTTTGCGCTTTACAGAATACAGAATTTACTAACAAACCAAGACTATGTAGAGAATCTATATCTTTATATCCATAATGTATGTGTTTAGAATAAGACATCCAAAAATGTTATAAAAAAACTAAAAAAAAATTACCAAATTTTGAAGGATCAGTCACACATAAAGATAAGAAAGTTAAAGGAAACACTAGAGGTACTGTGAGGAATGAGCTCACTAAATGATACCCCCCGCCTCCAATATGATTATAATGGAAAAGTCCATGTTTTGTTGTGGCCGAGAAACCCAAAGTATGTGTCGGATCAAAAGTTAAATAGGAGGTGCACAATGGCAATATGTAATAAAGATTCTGTGAAAGTTTCATTAAATTTCACTCAGTGGTATAAGAGGAGTTGTGGATAAGAGATGGGTACCCCAAAGCGTAACAGACGGACGGACGGAAGCACGGACGTGTCCGTGTTTACGAGAGTGCATTTATTGGGTATTTTTCATGCTCATTTTGTACTTATTGGGTACTTTTTGCTTATTGGGTATACCCAATAAGAAGTGTCGCTAAATGTGCTTAAAACACCTTAACTGGGTATTTGCCGGCAAGTACCCAACAAAACTTGGACACGACGATTTGTCCAAAAAAGTGTCTAAAAAATTGTTTCTATGGACAGACCATGTTTTGCGTTTCGGTTTTACACTCGGAACTCTAAATTCTCGAGAGTTCCCAAAATCAACTTCCGGTAGTCATGATCATAACGGCGTTTGTTTTCACGAAGAAATATATGGCGACTAAGAAACACACGATGTCAACAAGATTGTCTGTTTGACAAGAGCAAAGATAAGTTAATTCGATTAATATTTACCAAATGCTAGATTCTTGCTTAAGGAAAATTGATTTTTAATGTAATTTAAAAGTAATTGTGCACAAAATTGAAATAAGTATCGAAACAATCCATTCTAAGTAGCATTTGTATGTATTTTGAATTTCCTCTGCCTTTTTAACTCTCTTTAGCGCAAGAAGTATTTAGAAAATTATCGTATATTGTTAAATAATACTTTATAAATTGTTAAGTGTTAATTATTTAGTTTTATATAGTCAACCAACTAAGTATGTTTTGACAAGGTATATTGGAAAGCGAAATGAAGATTTTAACAATCGTTTTTCCATAAATCAGCTGTAAATTATCGGATCATGTAGACAGTATTACAAACGTAAAATTAGCAAATTATTTACATTCACTCAATCCACTGAAAGATAGGTGCCATGCAATTAAATCAAAATATATTTGCAGTGTCTTTAATGATTTAATTAAGATGAAAACAAAATAAATTTTGCTTCGTTTTAGATGAGCTAGTGAATGATAAGAAAAGGGAATATTTTAAAAAAAAATTTCATTTTCTATCATAATTATTAATTTATATATAATTAAATTTTGCATGTTAAAATTAAACTTTTTAAATTTTAAAAGAATTACCTTTAGTTAGTACCCTGACTTTTCACTATTAACTTTTTTTCAATATTACTTTTTAATTTTTGCCTCTATATTTAGGCTAGTAACTTTTTACTTGGGGATAGTAACTTTATTGCTGCCACCAGGCTGTTGGCTACTTACTTGAATTTTTTAATTGCTCACTCCTGAATATGATTTAATAGCACAAAGAACTATTAGGTTTACATATGCGAATTTACATGATTATAATTGCTTGTGATCTTAGGATACTTGGATATAAATTTAAGATTCATTTCCCTCATGATATTTTATTCATATTTTTCCTAACTTATGTTACAATA